GCCACTTCGTATAAGGTTTTTATGACCAGTAACCCTTTCAGAAAAAAAACATTAATTTTTAACTTTTTATGATAAACATCGGTTGATAGTAGCAATTTAGCAACAAACCCAACAATAAGGAATTTGGATAACATATATTAAAGAATTATCGTGATAAGCAGGCCTCAATATGGAGAAAAAGTATAATTTCTAGTTTTCTATGGCGGCATCTGACGACATGCGGGCTTTCATGAAAAGTGTGCCTTTGCATGGAATTAATATGTAATACTTGATGTATTATAACCAAGACGAATGAACGACTGTATTAGGCGAAATGTTGTACGGCCTCGCCCGAGTATAATATTCTTATTTGTTTTTACTTTAGTTTTGTCATCAAATCATTCAAATGTTCAATGGCCATTTAATTATTATATCATTCGTTATCTGCAGCTATATCCCTCTCACGTTACTTCCATTTATCGTCTTCCAAATTACTAATGCTTACATATATCTTGCATTTGTTTAGCTGCTAAGATGTTAAGTATCGGCAGTTTCGATTTGTGGCTGAATAATACCAGCAACTAAATAAACATTGTATTGATAAGAGTCGTTTTATTTTTTTCATATATCGACTAAAAAGTATTAATAGAGTTTCATTCTGAATTTATTTAATATTCGTTCGCATAGCAGTAGACATCGTTCGAGCTCGTCTTATATATCTAATAATTTCTGTTTTTGTAAGATGGGATTCAACGACTGACATTACAGTCAAACCAGACGTTATAAGGTATTTCTTATTACCCAACAACATTTATTGTGTGACGTATATTAATTTTGCATAGACTTATGTTACATCCAGCAGGATTTGAAGTAGAGCCACCCTTTTCCCCTTTTCGTACCGATCGATTGAAAATCAGTTTCTGAAATGATCTAAGTTTATCTGTCAGTCTGTGCGACTGTCTGTCTTGCTTTACGCTCTGTTCAGTTTACGGCCCGCAAATTTTAAGATATTTTGGTGAAATTTCGTACATTCACTTGTTTTAATCCATGGATGAACGCTATGGTTCGGAGCAGACTTGTTTTTCGATAATAAGAAAACATGTTGTAATTTTTCAAAATTTCGCGACAAAAATCGCTAAGTAATAGCTAAGTAATAGCGATTTGGTGTAAACACTTTGCATCCGATGAGACAATATATTGAACTCCTTGCCAGATAATCGTTCCCGTGGAAATTGCAGCTTCATGCAGGCCTAATTTTCAATGTTTCCTGATGAAAATGCGTTCGTAATAATAATTCGATATAAAAATTAACCTTATTGCGTAGGTCCATTACTTGGAGTCCAATCTAAGTATCAAAAAACTGCGTTTCCACGCATTTTCAAAAATGCCTTCTCATTCTTTTTCCTTCAAAAATAGGATCGCATGTAAACAACAAGAAAATTTATACCACTACAGCCGAATTGATAAATAACAAGAAAAAAGCTTCATCTTAATCTTTTATTGAAAATTTCTTGGCAGGAGCTTACTGTTTGCTTTTGAGTAGCTTTCAAGCTCATATTCCATTCAAAGGGACTGTCGATGAACCTACACTAAAGCGTTTTCCTTTGCAAATGCTTTCAAATGCACGTAAACATTTTCCAAAGATACCTACTACTGGTGGATGGCAGAATTTGGAAATTAACTTGCGAAACGTTAGGCTGTAAGTTCGCAGCAAGAATTCATTTCATACAAATCTTTAAAGATTCAAGGAAAGAAATCTCTGCCTTATAAAAAACTCCTCTCCACATATTCCACAAAGTTCGAAGCATCAATTAAGTCAAGAAAAGGAGAATTTTCTCGTATTCCCAATGGAAGCCTTCACTTGCAATGCATTTAATTGTATGAATACGAAAATTCCTTAAGTGAGATATAGTTTAACTACGAAATATCTGAATGCCTTACTGGTGTGTTTAATAGCAGCTATTTTCACGTATTATTTTCGGAAGCAAAGAATTTTTCGATCACAATCAAATCCAACGAAAAGATGTAAGCCGTTTATAACTTTATTTAAATTCCCTAACTGTCATTGTTATTAGTATCGTTATTATGATTTTATGCATGAATATGTATATGTATTAATTGAGTGTCTTCGAATCGACACAAGAACATAAGCTTCGCTTCACAATTCTTTTTAAAGCGTGTAAATAATTTAGCATTTTTTTTTAGGATTGTAAATTAGGTAAAAAACTT